TTTATCCACAGTGGAACCAGGCAGACAAGGGGTGTTTGGGGACAGCAGCACAGGCAAGGACCCCACTGCCCACCAACGGGGGGTTTCATGGACACAAGGCATGGAACAAGGGCTACCAGAGGACACCCTCAGCCCACAGGGAAGGGGGACAGAAGTGTCACAGCCATTGGGCTCTGCTTGTCGACGCAGAGCTGCAAGAGGAGGTCAGGGAAAGGACAGACACTCACATGAAGAAATAAAAGGAAAGGTTTTTTTAGGGATCCATCCCCTGCTCCCTCCCTGCCCTGAGTGTCCCAGGTTTGCAAGGGCACAGCTCTATATGAATAGAGTTCTGGCGTTCCCACAGGCACTACAGATATTCAAGAAGCACGTTCAAAGGCCCATTTTCTGCTGCCTGCAGGTGTCCTTCACAGAAGGCCCCCGGTCACCAAGGCCTTCACCCAACCTCTCGTGTACAGATCCAGAAAAACATGACAGAAAGGGTTAAGCGGCCTGTGGATGCTCTGCCTGTGCACTCACCACCTGGAGCGGCTGCTCTCACAACTGGGAACCATTAAAGGTTTAGCATGAGCTGGTGCAGGTGGGAGAGCTTTTTGGCTGCGGGCTCTTTGATGCACCGGGCTTGGCAAGCCCTGGGGATCATCTGCCAGGCCACAGGGGGAGACCACATCTTGCCCAGGGGACCCTGTCGCTGAGGTCAGCCCCTCGCCAGCTCTACGGACTTGGGCAGGGGTCTCACTGCTCCGACTAAACCTCCTCATGGAGGGAAAAACTCCTGCCTGAGCCTGTGAGGTTGAACTGAGCCACATTATGCCGGGGGGGGGAGGTGGGGAGGGGTCCAAAGGAATCGCCTTCTTTGCGCCGCTTAAATCAGGGTGCTGTAAAAGGTGAAAATAACTTGAAAGGCGGTAGCCCCAATTTATTAATAGCAAGTATTTATTAGCCTCCTTGATTTACAGTACGTTTCTGAAAAGTCATCAAGTCCATCACATTCTTCAGCACGGGGGCTGAGGTGTTTTTTTTTCTTGGTCAACACAATATGGAATATAGATCCGAATATGAGAAGCCAAATACAACCTTCATTTTTGCATGCACATATCCCACCGACGGGAGGCCCGTAAATGAATCCTGTATAGCCCTTAGACACATGCAGACATTGGGGGGAGAGGCGGGAGCTTCTGTACATCACCACTGGAAACCCGGAGGGTCACGGAAATCGCCAGGGAAGAGCCATTCAGGGCTAGAGCAACCTTGGGAAGCTTCGCAGCACGCGCACCCCAGCCACGAGAAAGAGGTGGAAATCCACTTTATCACCTTGCTTCTGGGTTTTGGAATGAGAAACTACCTGTCCATCCAACCCCCCCCCCTCACTGCAGTATTCGACGCTCACATAGCACAGGCACCTCCACCCACCTGTTATCATCCCTATTCCCAGATTTTTTTGGTTTTTTTCCTCCTCCCCTCCCACGGGGTTTTTTTTGCCTGCCCACACCACTCTGCCCATCACCAGGGAACACGAGCACCTTCCCTGCTGGAACCACAGCCGAGCCAGCATTACCAGGGATCACGTCCTGCTCGTTAGGGGAGGCCGGGCGAAATTAAATTGGGGCCCACCGGTTCTGCCATCTGAACTTCATCACTGCTAAAGATGCAATAAAAGTAATGGCAACGATGAACAAGCCTCTACCAGATGTGTAACTCTATCCAGGGAGATTAAGGAGTAAGAGCCATATTTGGAGTTTGGGAGGGTTTTTTGTTGTTGTTGTTTTTGTTCTCCCCTTTCCACAACTCCATCTTTCCTTGGGAATAATTGGTTATTTGGCCCCCTGTAGAAGACGAATGTTAAGAGGGTGGTTTTTGAGGGGGAGAGGATTAGGATGGAGGGGCAACAATGTTTAATTGACTTGAAGCAGGTACAATACACAACTGAATGATGATGCCTAATCACACCTGAAATAGGAAAGCTGGGTGGGAGGAGAAGCAGAGAGTGAAAAAAAAAAAAGAAGCAAATGAGGCCCCACTCATTTTTGGGGGCACTGGGGGTGTTCAGCTCACTCCTCAATAAGATTTTATAGCGGGACCAGATGAAATACCCAGCAGAGCAGGGAGCCCTGGAACAGCAGTGATGTTTAGTAGGACCTCTGCCTCGCCACCAAAAATCCACAGGTAAAGGCTCATCCCTGGGTCTCACCAGCACCCAGAGAGCTCAAGCACACGCAGAACACAAAAAATGAGATGAAAAACTACAGAGCAAAAAGCACAGTTGGTAAAATAACCTCCAGCAGCCCAAGGAGGATGGAGCTTCTCTCCATCTTCCCCCAGAGTCCACAGTCACGTTTCCACCCATCAACACCAGGATGCTCCCCAGCCTGAGGCTGCTGCTGGTCCCACAGCCACTCAGTGGGACTCAACACAAACCTGGGGTTGAAACAAAACACAGGGAGTTTGGGAGTGTGGCTTGAAAACTCATTCAGAGGATTTAGAGCTGTTTTCAGATCCCTTCTGGAGAAAGGTCTCTCATCTCTCAAAAGCCCGCAACCCAAATGCATCGCAAATCCAAAATATATATTATTTTGAAAGCAGAATTTAAGTTAAACACCACAAAATACTTGACCTCTGCTGCATTTTAGTGTCAGGAAAGTGTGCTTAGAAATCAAACACAGCACAGTCAAATCACCTCCCAGTCTCCCAAATCCTCAGAGCTAAGCTGGGTGATTCCCAGGTATCCCAGCATTTACAAGAGGTTCTCAGCACAGACATTACAACCTGTTTGTAACTTTAAGGCAACACGAATTCTGAAGATGTTTTAAAAGTCCTAAGAGCTGGGGGAGAGGTTAACACCTATATTAAAAAATAGACATTTTAAGGACTATTTCATTTTACCTTCAGCACTTCAGGAGAAGACAGGTATCACTTCTGTGCTTGGCAGAGCTCATTCAGCTGTCACCTCTCTGTTATTTTCTGCTTTTCCTGGGAGAAACCCCTGCCTCACGCTGGCTGCTGAAGGGGAGACAAGCCAAGCCAGAGAAAGCAGAGCCCATCACACTTGTTCCACCAGGCAGAGCAGCAAAGAAAGCACTCAGTTCACTGAAACCTCTTATAAAGCATCTTCCCCTCTGGCCTGGGACAGGCCTGATGTAGATATGAACCAGGTGAGTCCTGAATTGCAGTCTGGAGGAGAGAGAGCAGAGCAACCCCCTTGGCAGTTAAAAACTCAATTAGCCCTAATCTGACACAGCTGCCTGGTGCAGATACTCCAGGGCAGGAGTGGGGGTGCCAGTAGCTAATGGAGCTGCTAAATCCCCCCCTAGCTGTGCACTCGCAATCAATAGGATGCTTAATCCAACAGGATTCACCCTTCCAAAGCTCAAAAACCCCTCATGAGCAGACATGGAGGTGGTAGCACAGGCTGGGGCACGAAGAACCTTTAAAAACATCTCCTAATGATAAAAAAGAGCTGAGGGTGTGCGTAGACTTTTGGGTAGTTTGACCTCAAAGACCAAACCACCTTAAAAGAAGCAGCAATAGGTCCCTTTGGGTCGCTGTGCACCAAGTCCTCCAGGCTCCCAGTGTGGCACCCCTGGGAGCTGCTCCTTCCTCCCACCCCGCCCCCTTGCCAAATTTTAAGGTACCAAAGTGTCTGTGCTTGTGCTGTGCCCGGACCGCCATGAGAACTAGAGCCCAAAGTTTAAAAAAATTAAAAACCAAAAACAAAAGAGCAACCAGCACCCATGGAAAAGGCAACATCGTTTTCCCTATGGGTGTTTCGCCAGGAGAGAGTCACCCTAAGGGAGGGCCTCACCCAGATTTTAAGGAAGGAGCTGAATTAAACGCAAGTAAGATCAAAGTTCATCCATGAAGCCAATAAATCCACTGGCCCCTGCCCCACGACTCGGCCCCGTCCCGCTGATCCTGGCAGCCTGACACGGCCAGGCAGCCACTCCACTCGCTACCCAGCTGGTTTCTTTCACCAAATAAGGTCCATTCCCACTCGTCGGCACAGACATGAGCAGCTACAGCCTATAAATCCCATCTGAGACAGCGCACGGGCTCACACTTCACCCACCCCCTGCTCAGCAACACGCCAGGGCCCCCAACCAGCAGCTCCAAGCGAGGGATGAGCGGCACTGGCAAGCAGGGAATCTCGTGCCCCCTGTGCAAAGTCTGGAGCACTCCACAGCAGACACCAGGACTCCAACCTGGCAGCAGGTGCCCCAGCTCAGGGCAGGGCTCTGCGTCCCCTGGCACTGACAGCATCTCCATAACAAGACTGTTGCTCCTCTCCAAATCTGCCTCCTTGCATGGACACTGACAGGCATTACAGAGACCCCACTAGCCCCAAAAGTACGTGGTTTAACAGCAGAAATGGAACACGACAGCTGGCGTTCATCAGGAAGGGGAGGGTGATGGAGGAGGGAGCTGGGAGGACACCCCCCACCATCAGCATCACCAAACGCCAGTGGGGGTTCACCAGCACTCAGGTGCCACGGCCATAAGCCCAACTCCTGGCCCAGTTACGTGGGACAGGCCTGTGCCCTGGGGCTGTGCAGCCCCTCGCGCCAACACCAGCCCTGATGTAAACTCAGCACTTGGTTTTCTGCAGCCGACACGGGAGTACAAAGTCATACCAACCGCCTGGCCCTTGTTGGCATTAAAAATTAAAGACAGAGCAAACAAAAACCTAAAGCTCCAACATTTATTATGGCAATTTCCCACCCACCCACAGACCTACACTGTGTTTTGTTTTATTTTTAATTCATCACATCAGATGCGCCTCCCGAGAAGTGGCACGTTGCGGGGGTAAACCAACAGGCCGGGTTGTCCATGAGAGCAAGACAAGTCTTTTCCACGGGGGAAGGAGCTGGTTGAAGCCATCAGTAAGCCCTTGACCTTGGTGGGTGGGTTTGCTTTTTTTTTTTTTTTCCGTTTGTTTTTAGAAAATAAAAAAAAACAAACAACAAATGACCAAAAAAAAAAACCAATCAAGAAAAACCCAAAAAAAACAACCCCAAAGAAGTGTTGTACTCTATTACAAAATATAAATACGATAGTCTTGCAGGCAGGAGGAGCCCGGGGAGCGCTGCCTTCGGCGGGTGACTCCTCAGGCTCTCCCGGGAACGCGGCGAGCCAGCAGGACAGAGGCCACCTCCGGACGCTGAGACGCCGCCGGCCGCTCGCCCCAGCTTCACCTCCTCTCAGAACTTAAGTGCTCTTGAACTTCCATCCGAAAACTGCCAGACATCCGGGGCTCCCTGGGCGCTGCGCCAGCTGGGGGGGTACGCCGAACCTACAGAGAGCATGGGGACAGAGGAGAGAACAGGTGTGACACGGCCCACGGTGTGAGTCATTCTCTTATCCTACTTTTTTTTTTATTTTGCTGGGGTGGGGGGGGTCTCTTTTTTTGATTTTAACAACTGGGACACCCAACTGTCACACGGGGTTACGGCAGGATGGAGCCCTTCCTCCTCTCAGGCCACACTCTCGCATCCGGCATCCTCGGCACCACGCAGGAACCACGGGGATCACTTAGGAGGAAAAAACCTCTGGGCTTTAACTGAGACACCTGGGCAAGGACCAAACCAGCCTGTCTTGAAACCTCCTCCTATTCTTTCCCAAAACCTCAGGGACTTCCCCCGGCACCCACAGCGCATCCGGGTGCTGAAGACCCTCCTAAAGCTGGTCACTGTTAATAGCGGCACATGGCGTGTGTTTCACAGAGGACTCTTCCCAACTCATTACATGCTGGATGTCGCACGGCAAAAGCAAAGCTCAAGCTGCAAAGCCCCAGCAAAGCCATGGGATGTGTCACCAGCACAGCAATCATTCCCAGCTCCCCTCAGACGGAGCACGAGAGTGGCTGCGAGCCGCTGCCCGAGGCCCGTCACCAAGCACCGCGCTGCCCCACACAGCAGGCCAAGTGGTGGTGGTGGTGCTGAGGCCGGTGCATCTTCAACACACCCCTCAAAATCCACCTCCAGAGCCCCACCAGGGAGCTCTTCTAGGGAAATTGCTTCATTACTACCTAAAAGAGTGGCTGAAGGGCTACACGCGAGGTGCCTGTCAGGACTAAACAAGCGGCTCCTTCACTAGGCCAGATCTTCACCGGGTGTAAACTGGAGTGCCTCCTCTGAAGTAAAGAGCACGTGCCCGATTTCCCCCCGGGGAGGGCTTGTTGCTGCCTGGTGCCTGAGCCCAACAGGTTTCCAGGCTGATGTTAAAGCTGGCTGAGGCTTCCAAGGCAGCCAAGGGCGCCTCAGCCACCCCAGACGTGAGCACAACACCGCTGCAAACCCTACATCCCGCCAAAGGGGCGTGGAGGCTTGGGGTTCCCCTGTGCCTCCTGCCCCTCCTGGATCCCTGTGGCTCCTTTGAAACCAGCAGCCAAGCATCTGGGCTCTGGGAACAGCATCTCTTCAGCCCTCTGGGCAGTATCACTCTCCTAGTCAATACTACAATTTGCCCATGCACCCGCCAAAAATGGGTTTCAACCTCTACTGGAGGAAAAAAGAGAAGGAGGGAGCTAAAAGAGCAGCTGGTATCTCTTTTCTTTTTTAGTACAAACTCTGCTCTTAGCTAAACCCCGAAACTGCATCAGATATGGCAAAACCTCGTGAATGTCAAGCAAAGACATGGTATCACTTATTCCTGTGTTATCTCAGCCCTTGGAAACATAATAAATATGAAACATCTGTACTCTAAATTCTGGATACTGTTTCAGCGCCTTCATTACATCAATCATTCAATTTGGAGGAGATTAAACACTAACGGCGAAGGGGTCTCTGCCACAAAACCACGCTCCTCCCCAAAAGTGGTCGGGGCTGAGATTTTAACAAGAGAGACACTGTTACCCAAATACCACTCTTATTTCTAGAGACATCATCTTTCTGCACAGAGGAAAACAGGGAAGTCTCTGGGGAGTGCAGGTCACGCGAGCACGGGATGCCAAAGCAGCTCGAGAGCACGTGGTGGGGCCTTGGGCATCCACGCCCCAACCCAGCAAACTCCAGTGGATTTATCACACCATTAACTCATTGCCACTGGCAGAAAAACAACACTTTTTTCCCAAATTCTGCTTTGGTGTGGAGGTGACAGCGCATTGTCGTTTGCAAGCTACGCTCCTGCCCAGCTGGTGTCCAGACAACTTCTCCTACAGCAGGAGCTGCTTCTCCCAAAGTTCCTTCCTCCAAACCACCGCCCCAGCCCCTTCTGTGTGGCCACAGGGCAACACAGCACCCACAGGGCTCGTTTATCTCTCCAGAAACCTGTAAAATTTTGCTTTTGGAAACGTGTAAATCGAACGCATTGCTGTGCAATTTCATCAATAAATCAATTGTACACTTTCCACTGGTTAATCCTGTAGCAGCGCATGGAGCCCAGATCTACATAGTGGTGCCTGTCCACGGATCTCTATATGGATACCTGTCAATATGCTTGTATAGCTGATTATTCCATATGTTAAATATAGTACAGAGAAAGGAAGTAGAGCGACGACCACCATAGGATAGACACAGGGAACAGCACCCGCTCTGAAACACAGCCAGGCTATGCTCAATCCCGGGCACACCAGCTAACCAGAGTCCTCTAAACAACATCTTGGTCATGGTCTGAACCAGCAGTAAAAATAACGCGAGGAAGGGAGAGACTGGAGTCCGTACAGATATTCCATGGCACGGGATCAAGAGCCGTGTCAGCAAGGCAGCTGCAAAGCGCATCCTTGCATACACCAGCTCTCCTGGGAACAGCCAGTGTCCATCCTGACACCTCGAGCTCACCACGCTGGTGCCAGGCTCTGCCTCCCCTACACTGTGGTAGGGATCCCTCCAGCAGGGCCTGCATCTGCACAGCTCCAGCTCCCAAAGGGGGAGCGCAGTTCAAGGGCACTGCCAGCACTTTTCCAGCTCATCCCGCCAGCCCAGACAACTCAACCTTCACTCCTCCTCTCCCAGGATCAAAATGGGGCTTTATTATTTTTTTTTTTTAAAATCTCTCTTTAGAAAAGGAGCAACTCTTTTTCTTTAGACACCTATTTCTGTCTTTTTTTTAAATCCCAAAGTTCCCCTTCAGAAGGCGCCGGGCAAAATACAGGCAACAAACGATGCCGTCACAAGAAGACAACAGAACAACTGGAAGGTTTTACAAAAAATCAAAAAAAAAAGGAAAAGAAAAAAACAAACTATTAAATCCATTACACTAGGAACAGCAAGAGACAATATCACAGCGGTACGTGCTTTAATAAAGTAAAGAGATGCTGCAACATGCAGTATTTGTCAAACTGACAACATACACAGACCCCTAAGGGGGGACAGGGGGGACCTGAACTCCGGGTTTTAGAGACAAGGCACATAAACCTGAGATTCCCACCAAAAAAATAAATGCCCAGGGGAGAAGAGGGGGCAAGCTCCCAGCTCCAGCCAGCAGCGGTGCCGGGAGCTTTGGGCTGGGGTCATCGCAATCCCGGAGC